CTTGGCCAGTGAGTGCAGCTGTAGGGTGAGTGTCCCGCCCTGACGGTTGATATAAGCTACCACTGTGGTGTTGTCTGTCTTCACTAAGACATGACGGTCCCTTAAGTAGGCCAGGAAGTGTTTTAAGGCCAGAAACACTGCTAGGAGTTCCAGCACATTTATGTGAACCTGTTTCAAACTGCGTGACCAAACGCTGTTCACTGCTCTCCCCATCAAGGTGGCCCCCCAACCTGTAAGAGACGCGTCCGTCGTCATGGTAACTCTGGACACCACCGCCCCCAGCGGAACCCCAGTTGTGAGAACTGTTCAGTCTCTCCAAGGCTGGAGAGCTGACATGCACGCCGGAGTTATCTTCACTCTGCGGTGGAGATGACGGCGGGAGCATAGTCTTAACAACCTCACCCACCTCTGAACATCTCTCATCATAAGAAGCCCCAGTTGCACCACAGAAATCATTGACGCCATGAGGCCGAGAAGGCGCTGGCAAAGTCTGTACGACGCACGGTATCCTAACTGAAAACGTGCGACACACTGTGTGAAGGACGCAATCCTCTTCTGACAGCGAAACGCGATAAGAGAGAGAGTTTATCTGAAGACCCAGATATTCTGTGCATTGTCTGGGGAATAAACTGCTCTTTGTCCAGTTTATTTTCAATCCCAGGTCGGTCAGATGGCTCAACACCACCAGCGCGTCGCTGGCTGCTTGCTCCCGGGAGGGAGCGCAAATCAGATTATCGTCTATGTGAGAGAAAATTCTGATCTCGCGAGTCCTCAGTGAGGACAGCGCTGCCTCCACACACTTGGTGAAAACCCTCGATGCTAATGACAGCCCAAACGGGATGGTTTGAAACTCGTAGGCTGTGCCCCGATAGGCAAACCTGAGAAACTTCCTGTGTAGAGGATAAATAGAGATGTGAAAATAGGCATCTGCGAGGTCAATCGTGACAAACCAATCTCCTGGGCAGATGGAACGGCAGAGTGTTTTGTGAGTCAACATTCTGAAAGTGTACTTGCGTAAGTGTTTGTTTAACACATGCAGGTCGAGTATGGGACGGAGAGATTTCCCGTCCTTCTGTGGAACAAGGAAGTAGAGCGAATAAAAACCCTGGTGGGCCTCGTCGCTCGGCACCATCCTGATCGCTTTTTTTGTTCAACAGTGAAGCGATTTCGTTTTCCAGGATATGCGCCGAATCCTCTCTTGCCACTGACGTTATTATCCCATTGAAACAGGGAGGTTTTGAGGCAAACTGAAGCCTGGAACCCCAACAAACTGTCATCAGAACCCACGAGGGAACTGCGCATGCGCGCCACCTCTTGGCCCGCGCCGAAAGCAAGCCTCTGTTGGGTGACGTCATCTCCGTCACCTGAGCAGCCTCGACTCGTCCCGTGGGAAGAGTGAGAGGGCCCTCTGCTGGGCGCAGAGGGACCTGATGGGGTTTGTTTATTATTTTTTGTGGGGAGCTGTCTGCCCTTGACTGAACGCCTGGCTGCAGAAAAGCCGTCTTTATTTTTAAATGACCCCCCTGAACATTTCTGCACACATCTGGGAACAAAGTGCTTGGTGACACTAACTGCATGCTCATGAAAAGTGTTTGGTGACACTGCGTTTTCTGCTCCACACACTCGCCACTCCTGCTGGACCGGGAACCACAGGAGTGTCTGAACCCTGAACACAGAGGTCTGTTTGTACCTCTGAAAACCTCCTCTTCTTCTGGAGAGGAGAAGCAAGAGCAGCTAGGATGACTTCTTCCTCTTGCCCTCGCTGGGGTGAGACGGGCGGTTCCTCGCGGCTGCTGCTGCGAAAGAGTGCTTCCCCCATGGGCGAGGGTTCTCCGCCTTGTTTGGCTGACCACCTGCCGATCGCTGTGGTCTAGCCCCACCCTGTTGACCCTTTGCCGCTGGGGCAGCTGCTGCAAACCCAGGCTTGGGTGCCTGAGGTGGCTGAGGGTTATGTTTACGAGGCAAGCAGAGATTGAGGGCCTCACCTTCCTGCTTCCTGTGGGTGCTTGTCTCAGTCATCTTCTCCAGGGCGGGCCAAAGAGACCTTTGACAGGGTCAAATGCTGCATCCATGACATCAGCTTTCTGGCTGTCACCTAGGCCTGACAAGTTTAGCCACAAGGCTCTCTCACCTGAAACAGCCAAACCCATCACACGTCCACAGCCCTGGACTGCTCCTCTAGAAGAGTGCAGGATGAGATCATTCACCACACAGATTTCATCCCATAAAGCCGGGTTAGGCGCCCAAGAGTCCAGCTGACGACCCATTTCCTCCAGGATTTCTCCTTGATAAGCTGACATTAGAGTAACTGCATTGAGGGAACACACAGATTGGCCAGCATATGTGTGCATCCTCTGAAAAATGGATGCCGTGAGACGATCCGTTTTAGATGGGAGAGAGATGCTGGATGACGCTGACACGGATCTGCGGTTGGGGTGAAGGTGGTATGCCACTGAAGGCTCCACAGTTGGGGGTTCGGCCAGCCCCAATTCCCCCATCCCATGCACCTCCAGTTTGGAGTATCCATTGGTGGGGAGTTTGCTTTTAAATGAGCTAGACCAGTAACACTTGGGTGGAGCGGAGGACAGTGGAAGCCTCATACAGGTCTCGTTCCACCCCTTCTGTCCCTTGGGCTGCCGGCCACTGAATGTTGAGCTTTGCAGCTGCTCGCCTGCAAACCTCGTACACGTCGGTGTCCCCCTGTGATGCCACCCCAGTGCCGCTAGGTGGCCTAGAGTGTTGAGCCGGGAAGGTGGAATCCTCTTCCTCCTCGTCCATGTCCAAATAGAGGAGGTCATCATCCGCATCGAGCAGCCCACTGTCAACCAGTCCCTCGAACAGAAGTGGTAGCGGGGGCTCCTCCTCCATCATATCTGCCCAACTTGTGGAGGCTCGCGGCTGATGGTTGTCACCTGCATCACAGGTGTGGCCAAGCCGAGGCCTGGGTTCCGGCCGTTAGCCACTGCCACTCTAAGCCTCCTTTTTCTCTGGCATGGAGGAGCAGTGAGGGCATGTCTGCGGGTTAGCCAGCGATGCCTGGGCGTGAGCAGCACCCATGCACACTATGACAATAGGATGAGGGTCCCTGCCTGAAATAGAAGCCCCACATGACGCCGGGCACAGGCGGGATGCAGCCTCTTTAGCCTTTGGTTCCGACCCTTCCGTCTGGGTAGGGGTGGAAGCCATAGCTGAAAAACCGACTGGTCGTGACAGATTAGCCTGAAAAAGCATTAGCAAGCTAGTTAGCAGGTGTAAGTCTGCAACTATAGCTATATTTTATATGTAGGACAACTCGTCGTGACACGTTAGCTGCAACAAAATAGCTCATTAGCGAGTAAATGCTAAATAAGAACAGGACAAGCTCGCAACAACGCGTTAGCTTGAGCCACACTCGCTAATACTACTCCGTCAATGACAACCGAGTAGCCGCGGGAGCAGTTCGCCGTGACGCGGTAATGGTTCCTAGCAAAGTGTGCCAAGTGACTTAGAAACACTTACTCAGCTCTAATCCAGACTGCATTGGGACTGCGTTCGGCGACGGATCCTGATGGTACGCCTGGGAACAGTTAAGCAGCTGACCAAAGATAGCCTGAAAATCGCTGAGGGAGCAAAGTGTAGTTTCTCACGGGAAGAAAGCGAGAAAGCGAGAATGAGTAGGAGGGGTTGGTTGGCCGTGTATATACTGGGTGGGCGGAGCCTGGGCACGGCGCTACCAGTCTGTCAGGGACAGACGTGATGTCAATGGAGCTTCCGTAGTTGGTCACGCCAGGGCGATTCCCCGTAGTGAAACACCGAACGAAGTTAGAAAAAGAACCCCGAAATAACAAACAAGATTGAAAAAAATTATAAAGGATAAAAGGGATAATAAATTAAAAGAATTAAAAGATAAAAAAAAAATAACGAGTAAAAACAAGGTCATGACTAAAAATATTTTAAAAAAACATACTAAAAGGTAAGCACATGTCAACAGGGAAGACACCACAGACTAAAACACTAACAGCCTGATCATTGATCAAAGTTAATGATAAAAATAGGCCTTCGGCACTGACTTGAACCGACACAGTGACGGGGCCTGTCGAACACTGAGGTGAAGAGCATTCCAAAGTTTGAGGGCAGCAAACACGTAGGCCCGCTCCCCACTGGATTTATATTTCATCTTTGGGTGCAAAAGAGCAGGTGATCTGCCGATCTTAGGCTTCTGGATGGTACATATGGCTTGAGCAGTTCTGACAGGGAAGCGGGAGCTGGACCATTTAGGGCATTGTAAACAATAGTTAAGACCTTAAACTGGATGCGGTATTCACAGTGGATGAATCAAAATATTGGTTTAAAAATGTAACAGCTCAGACGGTATACAATTATGAATGTTAAAATCACAGCTGAGGTCATGTCTGGTGTTACCATAGTGCACTAAAAACATCTACAAGAAGAACTGGACGGAAGGGCCCCACTTGGGTCAGACTAGACATACAAGTGTGTAAAGGAGAGACTCCAGATAGAAATGTGTTTGGAAGATGGAAGGACCCCATAAGAACATGACTGGAAACATGACAGTGTGTGTGGCATTACCTGGCCTTCCCCACCCAATAGGTTCTCTTTTGCTGCTGCAGGAGCCTTGTTTTTTCCCACCTGGATTGTAGATGAATAAAACATATCACAGATCAAAGATGAAATGCATTTCCATAGACAACCAAGAGTAATATTGGAAGCATGGTTAATATTGGAGAAATAGCAACCAACTCACCTTACTGCGCCAAGGCCATTTTGAATCACCATAGTTGTAATAAATTTCAGCTCCTATTTCTATTTTCTTCAGAGAAAAAAGGCACAAATGTGGTTTGTTGTCAACTATGATTTTTTTCATAACGCAATTAGGATTTTTGTGGTTGTCATTGACCAATCTTCCGAGAGAGCCCTCTTCTTCAGATGCATCCAGGCTGAAAAGTATTTAAAAAAATTGCAATAGTTTTACATTTTTTAACAGTTTTATTGAAATAATTGTTTTCAAAAGATTTTAATATTTGTGCTTTAATTAGTTTATCAAGTATTAAACCCTTGTTCCAGGGATAACTCGGAATTTCTCTAATCAATAAAAATCATCCATTTTTCCATGTTTACCATAAGCAATGGTTCTGCCACTTAAAGCCAAAGAGAAATTTGCTTTCAGTCTCTGAGTATCGTCTTGACTCGCATTCTTCCTTTGTGAGGAGTTTACCCCTGTACTCCAAGACGAAGTCCCCTGGTTCATTGGGGGGTGTGGCAAACACTCCTCTTCCTATAAAATATATAATAATTAAACATTTCATTCTGGGACTCAAAAGAGATACTACAGTATTTTAAAGTGAGGCTGAGGTTCTTGCATCTAGTCGGTATATAACCTGCAGACAATGCTCAACATTCTCCTTGCAGGTAAACAGATTTTTGATCAGGCTTTCTGTGGCCAAAACATGTTTTTGATGCCAACCCATCCATATGAATGTATCACTGAGGTCCTGTCTATGCTCTGTTACTTTCCCTTAATCTGAGAGTGCTGTGTACCATTTGGTCCACGTAACACACCAGTGAAGTGTAACAACACAGATGCACCCTAACCCATGCAACTCAGACTTGACATAAACCGACAAACAGATGTAGAAGGATCCCAGACTGGAAAATTACAGTGGGGCCACAGCAAGGCATGGAACTATATATTAAATAGCAATACAAAAAAGTATTCCTATTTGCAATATATGAGACAGAAAAGCAATATAACAAATGTATATACAACAAATAGATTGACTAGTTCAATAATGTATGGTGCAAATGAGCTTTAAGTTGCAGTAAACTAAAAATGCATTTAAATCTATTTTCACAAGTGCAATGACATTATGATTTACAAGTTTATAATAATTGAGATTTGACACCCAGAGATTGTGAGGAAAAAATGTATGCAGAGGAAGAAATAGAGAAGAAAGTGCTATTTCAAGGTTCCTGCATCTTTTTTAAAAATCTAAATAAATGCTTTTTAAATACCTTAGGAGCTCAGTAAATGACACATAAGTCCTAACAGGCCAAGAGAAACAAGAAAAGAACTGAAATTCATTCATGTGAATGATGACATCTACTTTTAATGTTTAATAATGCAATCCCTACTAACTTCACCCTTTCCTTGTCATTTTTGGATCAATACAGATGAAATTTGCCTTAAAGAGCAAACTGCAGCTTAGAGACAAACCAGAGGGAGAAATCATCAGCCAAAGCAGAGAGATTTATCTGTGGTGTCAGGAGGTTCTGTGGAGGAGCAGGTGTCTCTGTGAGTGAACGATGCTAGCTAGCTTGCTACAACTCGTGCGCTAACAAAATGTTACTGTCATGTAGAGCAGTGGTTCCCAAACTTATTTAGCCGCGCACCCCCTTCTATGTCCCGACCATGTTGACGCACCCCCCAGCCCCACATCAGGGCATGGCTATATATATATATATATATATATATATATATATATATATATATATATATATATATATATATATATATATATATATATATATATATACACACATATCAGACGTCACGCTAAACCAGGGGTCGGCAACCTGTTCCCATCAAAGAGCCATTATTACCCGTTTCCCACAGTAAAGAAAACACTGCAGCAGCTGCGGCGTTGTGGGCGGGGCCTACCCTCAGACAGCAGAGCGCTGCTAACAACAGGTGACAGCAGCCGGTACCGGTCGCTCGTGTACGTCAAAGCTGTCTTTCATAAGACGATAATCAATAAAACGATTTATATAAAGTGGATCCAGAAGTTGTAGCCCGTCTCTGCCGACAATATTTAGATATTTTTCACCCTGTTGGTGGTTTTACTGAGCAGGTGCCACTTTTGTCATACGTTTCTTTTTAAAACATGTTTAGACTGTTCAGAATAGAAATCCAGGCTCTGTCACGTTTGATTGTTGTAATTAAACTTTGTAGGTGGGGAAGGTCAGAAAAGGATCCGATCATTTTGTTTTTCCCTCATTTACAGCGACGGAGATAACGGTGCAGTGCGCCTGGCTCTGGTGTTAATCAAGTTTAATTTGTAACAATTTTCACAAGAAAACAGAACAGTTAAAAGCAGGGCTTGTGTTGTGTTAACCGGACAGTTCCCGTATTTGACCGTTTATTTTTGACGGAGAAAGAATAGAAAGAATTACCCCGACGCATGCAGACGAACTGACACTTTATTCTACGCAAATCGCAGATGAAGCTAAATCACTCAAGAAAAGATTTCCTTCTGAACATCTGAGCTGGACACCGCTCAGTTAGCGCGTACATAAGGTGCACAGCGAGCTGAAGGTGTGGAGAGGGGCTTGGAGCACGTCGCAGAAACAGAGCGCATGCGGGAAGATTCCTTCCACTGAAGCGAGTTTGCCAAACCCGGTCTCTCAGAGAGACTTGTCACTTAGAAAATGTTCCCTGATGATGAAACTTTGGCTGAATAGCGCTTGTTCCTGTCTCCAATGTGGCGACTGAGGAGAGTCCCAGAATCTCACATCGTCTTCAGCTCAGGAAGCGCCTATGTTTACGCACATGTGTGACGCGTCAACCCGGTCTCACAGTAAGACCGGGTTGGACCTGTTCAGGTTTACGCAGACAATCTACATTTAGAATTAGCTTACAGATGTAAAATTAATTCAGTAAAATACAAAGCATTTTATTTAAATATCCATTCATTATTTTACAAGCACAGAGAGCCGCATGGAAGAGCCGCATGCGGCTCCAGAGCCGCGGATTGCCGACCCCTGAGCTAGGGCATGTGCGGAGGACACACACACACACACACACACACACACACACACACACACACACACACAAGCAAAATATACTTGTTTTCAATTACGTTCATTGGGCCCACTTACTTTTTCTTAGGCCCACCCACAAATGAGTTTCTGGCTACGCTAATGGTGACTTTTGACAGACTTCTCTGAGCTCCGCAGCCATTACACTTTTCACCTCGCGCACCCCCTAGCGGCACCACACTTTGGGAATCCCTGGTGTAGACAATTAAAATATTATTGGTAAGTTAATATAATATTGATTCTTGGCAATGAGCATTTGTCAGCTGTTTAATACTTGTTAATATCCATTCACGTAATGTATCTTAGCGCTTTAGAGAGAGGGAGAGACGCATGTCATCTTATCCAGAGCACAACCCAGAAACCAGCTTCCCTAGCCCGCTAGCATCTTTTAAAAGCTTTGCATCCTCTTCTTGAGGTTAGGAGCACAAGTTCCTAGCCAGTTCTGACCAAGAAACCAGCATCCCCGCCTCACTAGGAATTTTTGAAAGCTCTATCCTCTTCTAGAGCTCCAATGCTGATCTGGGTAGGAGCCATCAAATATTTTTCAAAACTCCACCAAGTGGCTCTGGAGGATAGGAGGCATGTTGAACTCCCGTCACATCACTGGGATTGTAATCCTCTGGTCTGGTGTGGAGCAGAAACGACCGTGTTTTCAGCTGCACAAAATGCACCAGAAAAGGAAGAAGGTGCTGTTCATCTACAGACTACTGGAGTCTGTAGATCCTCCACACAATAGTTTACTATTTTTTTCGAAAAATCAATGGTTCCACTTATATTACATTATCTATGTGAACTCTCCAAGATTATTTAGAGCTGAGAGGCGCAGAGCTCTGATCGTTGATGCGCTCCAGACAGATGCATCCTGAGCACAGCCACAGCTACATTCTCAAAGTGTCGCCATCTCAAAAACAAATTTAACACGTAATCGTTCATGTCGGCTCATATCCCTTCATGTTTTCTGTCTTTTATTTGTGCCTGATGCATTTTGCTGCTGTGGAGCAGAGCGCATCACCTGTTTCATTCTGCTGTGACTTCACCTCACTGATGCGGTCTGTGCGTAGCACACACTCCTCTATATTTGCGGTCGGTAGATCTTTTAGAACTGCAGTTCAAAGGTAACTCATGAGGTGAATATATATGAAGCCAGATAGCAGTTTCTCTTTAGGATTGAGATGAGATGTAGGAAGATGATAAACAGACAGGACAGAAAAATAGTCAAATAAAAATAAGTTCCTTTTTGTACCTGCTGGTAGCAACAAACAGACACCATTTAAGGTAATCAGAAGTCAGCAACAGAAAATTAAATCATTCTTTCAATGTTTAGAGCAGCATGAACTCTGAGAGGCTGCAGGCGCATCAGTGAGTTTGCAGTAAAGATGAAAAAACTACCGTTGTTAAAAGAAATGTGTTTAACTTTGAAAATGTGGGCGCAATTTTAATCACTTGTCAACTTGTCAACTGCTTTGCTTTTGAAAAACACAAGTTGTGTCAAGAAATTTTCGCAAATTACCTTTGTAACCGTCAATGTATCTCGACATAAACCCAACCTTGTCAGTACAGGACAGGATGTGTGTCTTTGCATCATCTATAGGCTTTTTCCTCCTCTTTCTTGTGGACATAATGGCTCTGTGAAAATAATCGTAATTAGTACTTAGTCAAGGCAAATCTCACAGAAAGGTTTTTGAAAAATAGCAAGAGAAAAATAAAATCTAGAACATTCATACAAACACACATACAGCAGCTGTGCATTGAGCTTTGCTATTGCATGATGCACATTGTTTAACATCAAACACAGGATAATGAAATATACAAATTCTGAAATGTGTACACTGAGAGCTGACCGAGCCTGTTGAAGCCAAGAAGTTAGTTTGTTATATAATAACCAAGCTGTGCTGCAAAGACACTCAGTCACTAATCTAAACTAGGGCTGTCAAACTTCTGGTACAACAACATCACTGACACATGCAGCATTTTCAACCTGGACCTTATTTTTTTAGCCTGGCCAGCCAGACTCACTCTGTTCAATTCTGCACAGAGCGAGTCTGGCTGGCCAGGCTAACTTTTTTAACAAATATTACGTTAATTTACTCACCCAGACAAGTGTGGACCTACTTGGCGTAGTTCAGGAGGAGTTTTAATCAGGTTGCTATCACCGTATATCCATATAATGGGAGCCTATCAGGGCAGGATATTATAAGATTATCTGCCCCAAAACTCCTTCATTTAACAATGTTTTGTTGAGAATAGTTAAAAAAAATTTCCTCTGTGAGTTCAGCACGTCTTGAAGGTGCTAACGTAGTAGCTTCTGGAGTTTTACAGGCTTTTAATGCAACCGATTCCAACTGAGATTTCAATAACGTTGCAGCCCTCCGCCATTACGGCTGTAGTCCGCGTAGGTTGCTGAAAGAGTCTGTAGAAGCTGAATTTAGTCCAATTGGTCATTCGATTATTGCAATTTGGAAACACGCAAACCCGAACTACACTGATGTCAACAGCAGCAAGTTCTGTCAAACCGACCGTTGCAGAGCACAGAGTTAAAGTGCTGGCCGGACTACAACCAAGATGGCGACTGGCCGTGACGCTGTTTTAATCGCACAATATTGTTGTATTTTTGCCTTGAAATCACCCCAAACCGAACAAATAAACACTTACGAGATTTTCTGAACTCCGATGGGAGTAGTGTTAACGTTTAATAAGAACACTTGGTTAAATGAAGGAGTTTGAGGGCAGATAATGCAGCAACAACTCCTGCAGTTTTGCTCCCATTGGCATTATATGGATATAAGCTGATGGCGACTCGATAAAAAAACTCCTTCTGAGCGGCTCCAAATAACTCCAAACTTGTCTGGGTGAGTAAACAACGAACTATTTATAATATTATGTTGCTAAAGTTAGCCACATGGCAGCCAGCTTAAATACATCCCAACAGAACGCCAAAATATAAACTCTTCTGAACCATGCCTAGCTTACCTGCTGCATGCAGAGGTCGGTAAATGTAAAAATATTCAAAATAATCCAATCACTCCGTCGTCTTTTTGTCTTCAATCCGTGTTGTTTTCTTCTTGTTGTGAACTTCCGGTAGTTTTCCTCAGTGCAGCAATGTCATTGGCCAAAGGTTTCAGACTCCCGCGGTGTGTATAAGATTTTGCGGGAAGTGTATATCCTGACTTCCGGTTACGGTCGGCTGCAGGATACACACCTTTACACACTTGCCCACTTTTTGCTACCTTAGGGGACAATTTTTTGACATGAAAAAAAAAGCAATGGTAGCATCAGGGGAGGCTGCTGAGCTCATTTTAATTGAAATCGGAGTGGGGTCCACCATTTTGGGCCCCACTTGGATTTTGGACCTCCTTAGGTGGGTGTGCTCCCACCCATGGGAACCCACACCGAGAGAAATGTTAGGACACGGACACACACACACACACACACACACACACACACACACACACACACGCATGCACACACGCATGCACACACACATGCACGCACGCACGCACACATGCACGCACACACACACACACACACACACACACATACACATGCACACCTACACACACATGCACGCACACACACACATGCACGCACGCACGCACACACACATGCACATGCACACGCACACACACACACACACACATGCACACACACACACACGCACACATACACACACACACATGCACGCACACACACACATGCACGCACGCACACAAACACACACACATGCACGCACGCACACACACGCGCACACACGCACACACAACCGGGCGCACGCACGCATGCACACACACACATGCATGCACACACGCACGCACACACACACTCACGCGCGCACACACACCCGGGCGCACGCACGCACGCACACACACACACACATGCATGCACACACACACACACACATGCACACACACACACACACGCACGCACACACACACGCACGCACACACACACGCATGCACGCACACACGCACGCACACACACCCGGGCGCACGCACGCACACACACACACATGCACACACACACACACACACACACGCACGCACACACATGCACGCACACACACATGCACACACACACACTCTGAAAGGGAACAATAGAAGTGGAGGGGACACCTGCTTGTCAAACCCCCCCCCCCCCATTACCCTTTTTCTCTCATCTATTAAGATTCAGTTCATGACTCCTCTCTGTGAGTAGGTTAGCCATGCATGTCATGGCTAAGTCCTGTGAATGATAATGAACTGAGCAAGTGTGTGTGTGTGTGGGGTGGGGGGGGGGGGGGGGTCAGCACTCCTGTTGAATCACCCCCTCCTTCTACAGCTTTCTGCCGTCTATCCCATCCTCCTCCTCCTCCTCCTCCTTGCTGGCGTGTCGGCTACAGGGACAGCCCCCGCGCTCTCACTTGCACACCTCCATGATGTGTCGCTGCCCGTTCCACCTGGCTCTTCCCATCATTTCCCGCTTGCTTCTTCACCTACCTACACTTGCTACTGCTTCCCTCCCTCGGTTTCTCTGTTTTCATGCATTTTCAGGTTTTTGTTCTGAGTCGCTGCCTCCTCTCCCCTTGTTCTCAACCCCCCCCCCCCCCCCACGCTGTGTGTCACCACCGCCAGGGAGAAAAGAAAATGCTTGTGTCGACAAGTGGAGAGAAGGAGAAAAGTAAGCCCAAAAGAGAAGATAGAGTAGAGCCTCTGTCCGCAACAAGCCACACTCCCCTGTGATGGAATATCTCGGACAGTAGAACACAAACGCGAGGAGAAGAAAGACAAGAAAAGGAGAAGAAGATTAAGGAGGCTGAGAGAACGGGACGTGCAGCAACAGCCTCAAGAGGGTACGATAACGACTAGGAAGTGGGAACAAATGTATGAAATCTTCTTGCCAGTTGATCTTCTAACAACTTCAGCTTGAAGCGTCTCCAGCCGTCTCCTTGTCTCTGTGCTGGGTTGTGTCCACAGGCTCTGTTTGGGACTTTGACTAGTTGTGAAGCGATTCCTCGGACAAGACAAGACTTTTCCTCCGTCTGTTTTCATTCTAATTAACCCCCCGTGTGGAGAACTTCAAGAATCCCTCGTCTTTCACTTTTTGCGAGTCTCGCTCTGCCTGGGCTGGCTCCCCAGCTCGCTCCAGCTGCCTCTCAGAGGAACATGATTTGCTGTAGAGACCCGGCAGACTGAGGCTGAATGGCGTCTGGAACACGGGCTGTGTGGCTGGCTTGTGCTGAAGCCCAGAAGGGCAGTTTCACTGCAAATATTCTTTTTTAAGATGTCTTTGAAAGAAAAGTTTGGTAGAATGTCGTTTATTTTTCTCAGGTCTTCTCTGGCTTCTGTGATGCTCTTGGGGCTCGGGATGGTCCCACAAAGAACCTGAAACATGGGCCGAGGACAGAAACACGTCATTCTCTGATAAACTTGTGAAATTTAGCAACTCACAGAACCGACTAAAGCTGAGGAACGGAAGCCCGGTCACTAGTCGGTTGCTCTGTGCCAACTGTGTGTAGGAGAGAGCACAAGCAGCTGGCTGTGCTAACAGCTTCTGTCACACACCGTCCTGCTCAAATCCACATTTTTATCTTCAAACC